TCTATGATTCTATGATTCTATGATATTTGATACATTTGAGAAATACGCATAAATGATGTAAAATATCATAAAGTTTTATCAGGTGCAGAGGGAGTGTCTGAGTTGGTGCTTGATTGCCACCCTGTTGTTCAAGATGAATTGTATATTTTAAGATTTTATTTAAATTTTATTTCCCACCTATGAAGACACAATCACCACCTTTTGGGATGTATTTGCATTTTTTCAGAGATTTAAGCTTCAAATAATATTGACACTGATACTGAACTGGCTTGTTTAAAAAGCCATTTTATCTCATTTTAGTTGTGTATTGCAGGGATATTCCTTCCCTTGGGTTTAAAGGCAGGTTTTTTGCAGGTGGAATGGTGAATGAGTCTGCTTAAAAGCAGATGCTTTTTCAAGAAATGTGAGTTTCAAGAGATGAGAGTGAAATGGGTTTAGCTGAGCTTACAAATGTTTCACTTGCCTGTGCTTTGGGAGTGCTGAAGAGCAGGATTTTGCTCTCTGTTTGCAGGCGAGCCGCAAGCATGAGCTTGGCAACACCTGCCCATGAATGCCAGGACCCTGTGATCTGAACCGTGTCTTCAGCTGACTTCCCAGTGGCAAGGCACTGTTGATCCTGTACCATGGAGGACTGCCTTCACACCTCCTCCGAAAACCTCTCCAAGCTGGTGAGCTGGGCCCACAGCCACGGGACCATCTGCAGCCTCATCCCCAGCCTCAAGCACCTGCTCTCCGAGGGGGCCCACGGCAACCGGACAGCCATGTGGGGCTGTAGTGCAGGCCATGCCTACCACTGGCCCTTGGCCGCCACTTGCCGGGCCGGCTCGCAAGAGCGTGTCTGCTTCCAGGACAGCCGCAGCTTCAACTCGGACAGCCCCAGCATGCTGGGGGTGCCCTCAGAGGTGCAGGCCAGCCCCCTGGAACGCTACCCAGTCCGGCCAGGGAAGGCCAAGCTGGATTGCACCCGCACCCGTGACTCCTGCGACTTCTCCTACTGCAGCGAGCCGTCAGAGCTGGGCGAGCCCGTGGAGGAGTACGAGGATGAAGCCACCCTCTTTGACATGGTCTGTGAGTCCTCTGTCACTGACGAGGACAGCGACTTTGAGCCACATCCCCACCGTGCCCCCCCTCCCATCGGCCCACGCAAGCGTCTGGCTGCCAGCCTGTCCACCGCTGCCCAGGCCCAGCCCGCTGATGAGGGTGGCGGTGAGGTGCTCCTCAAGAAGATCAAGCAGGAGCTCCCTGAGGACTACTATATTGTGGCCAATGCTGAGCTGACAGCTGGTGCCGATGGGCCAGCACTGGCCCTGACGCAGATGTCGAAGCCCAAGCTGCAGGCCCAGGCCGGGCCCTCCTGCCTGGGCCCTGCCAGAGCCCTGCCCCAGCCTGCTGTCGGCCCTGACCCTGATCCACAGCACCTTTCCACCTCACCTGGTCCACCCCGGCTGGCCACACAGAGACCATCCCGGGGCATCCTGGCCTCCCCGGCATGGGGGGCAGGCGGTGGCCCTGT